TTATTTATGTATTTTATTTAATTCCAATAGTTATTTTTCTATATGTTATTTCTGGTATGTTTGTTACCAAATTTTTCTATTAAATAAAAATTAGCTTACTGCATAATAATATATAATTTATGTAAATGGTGACTAATTCTGAATTTATTTTTTCGTACCATCTTGCTCCACTGTGCAATTGTATGGGTCATACTTGAAATGTTTTGCTGGCAACAACACGAAGAACCAAATGCTAGTTGACTGCACCTATTAAATGCACACACAAACCGTCATATGCTACGGACACACACACACACACACACAAATACACACACACACACACACACACACACACAAATACACACACACTGTAGCACTTTTTATGGCAATGGAATTATTTTTGCACAGCATTTATATAATTTTGTCGAGCAAAATGTTGCTGTTGCAATTGTTGTTGTAGTTGCGGCTGTCGCTGCTGCCATGAAAGTGAAACTTGTCTGGGCGCTGTCAGGGCGTTGCCATGCCTCAAGAATTTCCTGCACAGCATTGAGTGGTATTTCAGTGTGTTATTTATTCTTATTTTTGCTTCTTATTCGTATTACGAGCACAGATTCTGGACAGCTCAAAGCGGCAGCAGCAGAAAAACAGCAGCTGGTAAACGTGAGTGCAAGGCGAACGGGCGTAATAAGGCTTGAACTCTGTGGAAAAGCTTAACATGGAACACATTAAATAGCGGCTTATATGTTGCTGCAATAATGCGAATGTTTAAAGTTTTAAAGTTTTAAAGTATTTGCCATTTGAGAGTTACATTAACTAGAGGATTAAAATGCAATCAGCATTCATTATTGCATTACGAACAGAATTAAATAGAAATTTGCTAACAGTTTTCTGTTTAAATGTTTGTAATTTGTTTTGGCTTTAAATTTTTATTTATACAGATTTTAAACTAAATAAATGAATGCAATTTCCTTAATAAAAACTGCTATTTGGCTGGAAATTCATTTAAATTTTCATATAAATATTTAATAAAATATTTTTTGCAATTTCCATTTTAGCTAGAATTTTATTTTTAAATATTTTCACTTAGGATTTCATTTTAATTAACTAAAAAATGTTACAAAATTTTACAAAATTTCTGTTAAATGCTCGAAAATTCTGAGAGACTCTTCTGAGTCTAAGTCGTCGTATAAATAGAATTCCAATGACTCCTCTGCATGTTAATGGGAAATAATTACCTGTTTATGCTTCAAAGTTTACCCACACACATATAACTGTAATTACGTCTGCGTATCCGTTATAGCATACTCACATACGTATCTTATGGAATTCGAACGACCTTGAAGCGTGCGTAGACATGCGTCCAAGTTCAGGTGCAAATGCCGAGCTTGAGACTACCTAGCTCCATCCCTGTTCCACTCATAGAGAGACCTGGCATGGCTGACCACAAAACCAGTCCTGAGGCCTGGCTTTCAAAAGTAAAACTTAATACGCACAGTATCAGAATAATTGAGGCAACAACTGCGTCATGGGTCAGACTCGAGAGTTGTTTTTGTTTTTCTTTATTTTTTTGTGGTTTGGTTTCCTAGTCCATTGGGCGTTGCAATCCCGCCAACAAGTTTAACTAACCCAAGGCATGCCATAGCTATATATTACACACGCACACACACACACAAACATATATAGAAACATATGTATCTTGTAGCTGCAACAATAACGGTGACTCCCTCTGTCATTACAAGTAATGCCAACGCAACGACAAGGCCATGCCCAATGCCTATGTGTGTGTGTGCGTGTGTGTTACCTGCACATTTGCTTGCGTTGAGCAGCTTTCAATTCTGTTAGCTATTTGGTCTGGACTTTGCAAATAACTTGTCTCTGCCCTGCGCCCCCTTCAAGTCAACTTTGCGCTTATTAACATGCAATATAATGCGACAGAGGCAAAGGTAACGGCAATGCTCGCATTACGCATACGCACAGTTGCCAAACAACAGGCCAGAGACGCCCAATCAATTTGTGGGCGATTAATGAGGCAATCGACTACATTTGCTAAACATAGGAAGCGATATGCTAGCTGAGCATAAATTAAGAACAAGTTTAGCTGTAGACTTTACTCAGGTGTTGAGCAGATTGCAATAGTTAATTTAATTGATTAAATTGAATTGGAGATGTGGGATCGCTAAAAAATAGTAGAAATTTCGAATTCACTGAGCTTGTTTATAAACTGGAAGGAAAGTATACTCAATAATAAGTTAAAAAATATATACTTTTTTCTTTTTCAAACAGTCTGACCATAATTCAAAAAGAAAAAAAAAAAAAAACGAAAAATATTTCAATTTCAATAACCTTGAGTAAATTTGCAAATTTGTAATTCCAAATCGGAATAAGATTTTAATATATACTAATATATTTAGATTGAAATTTGGATATAATCAATCATATATTTTGTTTTATTTTACCTAAATTTATTTAACGATATCACTTTAAATTCAATTGGAATACTTCAATCTAATTAGCTCTAATTAAAATCACATTAAATTGCTTTTACCATCTTATAAACAAATACAAACTAAGCTAATTAGGATTTATAGCTAACTGGTTTTACGACAACTCCAACACCCATTTATGTTAATGATAGATACTTTTTCAATTGCTCAACCTGAGCTATATTTATGGCATTATGTACTCCGCTTAACTCAAAATCATTTCATATTGTTCGCTCGTTCCCAAACTCATTCACTCATTTTTTTTTTTTTTTTTTTTTTTTCATTTTATCCATTCATTAGCTGTGCCGCCTGTCGATTTGGTTAATTTTTCACATTTCTGTTGATTAATTGTATCAAAATTTATTTTGTTTTTGTTTTGGGTGATATGGGTGTTTCGGGTGTGTTTTTATAGCGTGTGAGTTTTATTTTTGTTGGAGAGGTGTTTGGAATTGTTTGTGAAGGTAATGTATAAAAATGTAAGAAATTGTTGGCTAAGTGAACTCGTGTGATCGGCTTTCTAGGGTTATGATAAATTATATTAAATTTCAGACCTACAAAATTTACCTATTGAATGATACAAATAATATTAACCCAAATACTTACGCTTAAGTTGAAAAATAGTTGAAGATAATATATAAAATATTTAATGGAGTTGAAAATAATTTTAACAAGATTTACCATAGTATTTGGCTGCCATAATATTTGGTTTTTGTTTACCTAAGTATAATAGAAGCTGATTGCTTGAAATATTTAAATCATATTTTAATTCTTCATTGTTTGCTAATGGCTTGACAGTGTTAAGTAATGTAATCTGCTTAATCTTTTCCGGTTTTTAATATGCCGGATCCAATTGGAAACCAGAATAGTTCTGTATTGTCAAAATGCAAGCGCCTAGTTCATTGAAATGCTTTATGTCCTCTCCCTATCTACCGCTCTCTGTCTCTCTCTCTCTCTCCTTCTCTGTCTCTCTCCCTAGGCATGTCTGCAGATATGTCTTGGTTATAAATATAAAAATAATATTGCTTAAAATAATTTTTGAGGCTTGCAGAGACATGAGTACCAAATAAAAAATTTCATACAAAATATAAATAATATAGAATTATGATATAAATAGATAAAGAACCCATAGAGATCAGTATAGTTTTTGTTAAGCTTAAGAAAAAAACTGCAAACCTGACTTGAAAAGCTTTTCTGCATTGAGGTTAAGCTTAAGCACATTAAAAAGCTTAGGCAGAACAATTCAATTACATTAGGGCATTTGTATTCTTAGGATTTCAAAGTAAATAACTTGTCATACAATCAAAAGTGTTTATAATCATAACTGCATAACTGATCTAAAACTCAAGCAATGCCTATCGCACCGCCAACCACTTCTTGGCCTTTCCTGTTATTTGCTTATGCAGTGGCTGTGGTGGCGCAGAAAAAGCTCGCTGAAAAGCACAGAGAGAACCGCACAAGAGTCAAACTAGCCCAAGCAGCTCGCTGACTTCGTGAGTATGTGTGTGCGTGTGTGTATGTGTGAATGAGTGAGCTGTTGTTGCTATTGTAGTTGGTGTCTGTCCTTTTGCGCATGCGCCGCCGACTCGTTGGTGAAGTTGGTGGCTTTTGTTGGTGTTGGCTGTCGACTGGGTACGGAAAAGGTTTTCCTCGAAGCACGAAGCGCGGTATATAAAGCGAAATACAACAACTTGGGCGGCTCAGTTGCTGTCGGTCTCAAGCAAATGTTGGCGCACCGCTAAACGTGAATAATCTGAAATAGCAAAAAAAAAAAAGAAATAAATAAAAAAACAAAAAAAAAAATTAATACATCAGAAATCAAAAACTCAACGAAATTTCAAGTTACAGTCCCGGTTCATTAGATCAATTGAAAGTGATTTTTTGTGGTGCCATTGTTGTTGTTGCTGCTGCTTTTGAGGCTGGGTCTTGTGGCAGCGAAGGTCTTTTGCAATTAAAGCCGTTAAGCGATACGAAATAGCTGTGATCAAAGCTGAAAATGAAAGTGGTAGGTTCCAGAGAATGTTGTGCAAATACTAGCAGCAGGCACTGTACTGCAGCCCAGCTGCATCATGCTAGATGCTCGATGCTTGACAAAAGGTTAAAGTTGAGTTTGAATGCGTGACAGCTCAGGCCAGAGCGGGCCAATCAAATGCATTTGTCTGTCTAACTAGTTACGTCATGCTCTCTAGGTGTGTGTGTGTGCAAATATCGCATAATTTGCTATGCAAATTGAGTCAAACCGTTAATTTTGCTCCGCTAACCAGATAGTGGAGCAATTGCTCGATTTTGTGCACCCAATTTGGTAACTGGATTTTCGATTTCGATTTTCTATGCCCGCTCGAAATGGTATTTGTAGAGTTTCGATTCTATACCCGCTTGAAGTATTTGAGGAGTGGTTCCAACAAATGAATGCTCCTTTATACATACATACATACATTGTAGCACATGTTTACTTTTCTAAAACCTATATACCCATTCTACACACTTATACAAGACAAATCTGCAATATAAATCTATACATAATATAATTTCTTAAAGTTCTTCTCGCAGTCAACTGGAAGCGAGTATTGCCTAGTCGAGTGGACGTGTCTGTTTGCTATTTTGTAGTGTAACACATAATTTATGAGATGTCGACGATGAGTGTCTCGTAATTGCCTGGCATTCTATTGAGAAAAAAATATAGTTGCAGGAACTTTGGTGTAGAAAAAGTTGCGCTAACAAGCGCACTGCCAGCCCCCGCCCCCTCCGTGCTCGAGCGCAAATATCAAAGGCAACTTCGAATGCAGTTCACACGCTGCGATTGGATGCCAGCTTTTTCGGTCAGTTGCTGTCGAAAGAGAAAAAAAAAAAGAATTGGCATCAACTGAAACGTGGTCCGCAGTAGCCACTGCTGTTGCTGCTGCTGCTGCTGCACCATGTAGAGCCCAGTCCCCCCGTCCATGGTCCGTGTCCCATGTCGATGCCAGAGGCAAACTTTGCCAACTGAGCGCCAAGGCTATGGCATGTGGAGTTGCAGTGAAAGGTTTGGCCAGACAAAAGCGCGTGGACTACTCCAATTGGGAATTCGGTATGGAGCACAGAATGGCTCATGTGCTATGCAATATCTTGTTAAGGACCAAACAAGCATTGAACCCATCAGCCGTTGGGCGCATTTGCTTGGCCATTGCACTAATTTCGTTAGCCAGCAGAAGAGCCACAACCTGTGCGAATTTTGTTCAGCTAAAGCTGTTTCAGGCAATAGCAGAAGAAGTAGTCAGCTTGAGATACCCTAGAGGAGTTTCGAGTCTTTTTGGCAAGTTACAAGTTACTGCAAGCTCTTTAATAATCCCATCTTTACCGGGCATGCTGGCAACTTCAACTAGATGCTAACGAGAAAACTCTTGCTAAGAAACTTTTACAGTCTGAATCAACTTAAAGCTATTCTGCAAACTGCATTTCTACAGGGTATTTGGTTAATCACTTTTAGACTGAGTACAGTAATGATTGTCGTCTTCACAGACCCCTTAAATATGTTATAAATAGTTTTGCTTACCGTCACATATGTGCCCAACACTTCCTATATACCCAACCTTTACGACTGGTTCTATTACAGGGTATACGAACAGCACAAAATCGCAGTCAAGCGTTCGGTGCGCTTGTCAAGCTGTCGACCGGCTGCCAAGAGCTCAGCCATTGCACCCTCTAGACCCGCTTCCTCGTCCCACCACCACCCTCTTTCTCCCTTCTCTAGCTTCAACTGTTGTAATTTCTTCAGCATTTGCATGGCTGCGATGCATCTGTGAGATACTTGTGCAACATATCTGAGATTGGCATGTGTGGGAAAATTTCTTTTGCATCTTCTACATGGCGCATCGAGTGGAATTCCCGCAGTGGCAAATAATTTTTATGTGCACTCGAATTCATGCAATCAAATGCCAGCAATGCGAGTTGTAATCGAAGAAAAAGAAAAAACAAAAAACAAAAAACAAATGAAATGAAATGAAATGAAAATACACGAATGTATTCATTGGTTTTTCATTACATTTCACCTGTGGATATTCAATTAATTGTCGGCACGGCCATCGCGTGTCGTTTGGGCTTTATGCAACACGTCTGCCTGACTTGGCGTGGCGTGGCTTGGCTTGGCTTGGCTTATGCCACRTCGCCGTATCTGCTTGCTGCCATCGGTTCCTGCTTGGCATTGAGGGTGTCCCAGCCACAATGACAAGCGTTCCGATGCGAGCAAAACCTTACTATGTATACATAAATATACATATATATGTATTTATGTATACTTATTTGTATATATGAAAAGTGAAAGGTAGCCTGACTTAAGACTTTTGTAGCTATCTTATTCTTTGCCGCCTTTGCACTGTCAAGGTGTACGGGCTACGGCAATGTGCAGTGATATCTGCTTGGTCTGGCAATTAGCAAACTGGTTTTAAATTGCTCTCTCGCATTTTGTTAATTTATTCTGTAGCTACAACGTTTACTGTTAATCGGCTGCCTGATTGGTAGTCTGGTCAGCGCCCAGGACTACCAGGATTATCAGCCGAGTGCACCCAGAGCGGCGCCGCATAGACTGCACGCACAGGAGGAGACGCGACCCACGCCAGTGCCCATTCTCAAACAGATCAACAAGTGAGTTCCAAATAAAAATATATAGCCAAGAGCATTGAATGATTAATCAATCAATCATATATTAAATAAATCTGACTTTATAATAAATGATTGATGGATTGATTATAATGCACATTTAAATCTTCTTGAAAAAGTTAAATTTTAAATTTAGTTTTCGTTTGCTCACATCAATCAAATTAATGCACAATACTATCTAACTTTGCCAGGCACAATGAGGATGGCTCGTATACGTACGGCTATGAGGGTGCCGATGGTTCCTTCAAGATCGAAACGAAGCTGGCCACGGGCGAGGTGAAGGGCAAGTATGGCTATGTGGATGCCGATGGCAAGGTGCGCGTCGTGGAATACGGCGCCAATAAGTACGGCTTCCAGCCCTCGGGCGAGGGCATTACGGTAGCGCCACCCACGCTGGTCGACGAGTCCACCAAGGAGGAGCCCGACTACGATGAGGAGCCCGTGCAGCGACCACAGCGGCCCTATGTAAGTAGATGTCATCTGCATCAATCAGCCAATTAGGTTAATCTTCGTATTGTTTGCCGCTCACAGCGCGTGCAGCGGCCACAGCAGCAGCAGCATCAGCCACGCCCACAGCCCGCACCACGCCCACAGCCGCAACCGCAGCCACAGTATGTGCAGTATGARGAGGAGGAGCCGGAGCCACAGCGCCGCGTTCAATATGCACCGCAACCACAGTCGCCGTCAGTGGGTCCAGCTCCGCCACGCCTCCAGGTGCCCGGCGCCCAGCGCACCACAGACGTGCTCTACTCCCCGCTTCAGCGTCCCGCTCGCCCCGAGCCCGATTACACACAGTCGCAGAGCTTCGGCGATGGTCCCTCCAATGTGCGCGTCTCCCGGCCCGTCTATGCCCTGCCGCCCGCCTCGCCGGCGCCCAGCAGCGCACGTGCCCAGGGCTTCCTGGCACCCGCATCTGGCGGCCGGCCACTGCTCGAGCCGGTGCGCTTCGGACCCAGCCAGGGCCCCAGTGCACAGCCCGTGCAGCAGCCCCAGCCCCAGCCCCAGCCACAGCGCAGCTACCAGCCGCAGGCCCAGGGACGTGTGGGCGGTGGCGGCGGAAGTCTTCTGGATCAGCTGGCACGCGATTATGCCTTGCCCCAGGGCAATGCACAGCCGTTGCACGACATTACCTTTGGCTACTACTAGAAGTGGCCTGAGGACTTGGTATTTGGGGTAGTGAGGCGGCGCATCAGCCGCTACTTTGAGTCAGGTGCATATAATGATTATTTGATTAGTAAACCCCATACCCACCCCCATCACCACTACCACCACACAGCTGTTCCCAATACTCTACGCCTGCCTTTACATTTCTGTTCCAACTATTCGCGATTCCTTGCTTCTAGATTGTAGAGTCTTCTTAATCTATATATGTATTTTCCAATCATGAGATTTTATGCTCAAAGTTTTTATAATAAATTAAAGAAGGAAATTACAACATTTTTATTTAATTTTTGGGGAATCTTTGAGATTTTTCTTTTGGATTCAGATGGTAGCATCTGATATACTCAGATATCCAGAATTTTTTTTAACGTATAAAACCATAGGATTTGAAACAGTTTTTCGATAAAAAAGTTTTACTTATACGAGGTTGGAAAAAATAAATAAATATTATT